TAGTCTGCAATTTTATATCTGAGCAATTCTGTTTTTACTTGAACACCAAAAGGTTAATGCTGAGAAGGTTGCTGTATCTGGGAAGAAGAGGAGCCAAAAACTTTATAGGAGGCACTCCGGCAGTGGAGACTTTTGATCAACTGCAACAGAGAATTCCTGAAAGAATCATTGAGCATGCTGTCCGTGGCATGCTTCCCAAAGGGAGGGTCAGTATGCTTTACTATTTGTGTTGTTTCATTCCATGCTAGACCTATATGAGTTTTCTTAATTATGTTGATTAACCTAAAGAAGATGTTTGGCAATTTACATATAATGTTGGGGACGAAGCATCACTTATCAGTTATTAGGGACTCCATTAATAACTCTCATCTCCCATAGCGGTAGCATCCATGGAACTTACAATATACTTGTGTGTGTGTGTGTAATATTTATTTCTACACACACATATAAACCAACCCCACTTGGAACTAATGATTTTAAATCCTAGATAGCCTGTGCATAAAAGAGTATTACTTCTTCGAATGGATGGTTGTATGGCTATTGTTTACACTTCTAAATCAAGGCACATGTGAATTACGCAACGGTGTCTTCTCATGCTTCTGGTTTTCTTTATCGTGTGCATGTAGCCCTCACTCAAATGAAATTGACAAGGTCATTTATTGGATCTCGGAATTGGTGGTGATTGCACTTGCTTTGCCTTGAATCACTGGTTACAATCAGTAGAAAAAAGATTTTCTGCATTTTTTACATTTTATATACTCCACATTCTAAAATGATTCAATTTTCTGTTTATGCAGCTTGGTAGGCAACTATTTACACATCTTAAGGTGTATAAAGGTGCTGAACATCCTCATGTGGCACAGAAACCTGTTGCATTGCGCCATTTGAGACGAGAGGATACAGAAGCAGCGGTGAACTCCAAGTGATTCCACCGCGGAGCAGCTCTCATTTTTGGCTGTTGATACTCTTTTAAGTTGTCTGCTTAACTTCATATTTGAACGGCAATATTGTACCTAGGCTCCTGCTTTTCTTTTGTATGTTTTTTGTAGAGGTTTTCCAGTACAAATTTATTTGTCTACACCTTTTCTAAGCCATTGATGTTCTCTAGGTTTCAGTTCTAATGAATATTTCTTCGGTGGTTTTTCCTCGTCCTTGTGTTTGAGGTTTTATAAGTTATTCAACTTGGCATTCTAAGTTCCATGCTGACATGGTGAGAGCTAGAATCAGAATTGTGTTTTTTTGGAAAAGAAGTAAAAGTTCAACATTTTGTGATGGAAAGTGAAGATTCAAAAAATGACTTGAAATTCACTTCCGCACCTGTTTTCAGTAGATTTTTTTTTGTCACAATTAGGTTAATACTCTGTTCACTTTCACAGACTGACACCAACTTGCAAGTTAAAAGACCATTATTTTTACAGATGAAACCAGAAATAAATGCATACAACTGCAGCGATATGTTTGTCAAGATGAGTGACCATACAACACCAAAACTTTTATGTAACTTCAAAACTGATTGATTGAAATTTGTTCATTTTGCTTGGTAGTGAAGTTGAGGCCGTCGTTAAACAATGGTCATGAAATCCGATCTGTAACATTCCTCATATATTTGGTAGAAGAGTTGTCGGAAAAAAAAAACTCTAGTGAACCTCCAATGAATATACTCTCCAATTGTTAAGGACTCAATAGCACATCAAAATTATGAAATAAACTACTTATCATAAAAAAGCAATGAACCCATTGGTGGGTTGTCAAGGCTTAGGCTCTAATGGGTCTTTTGGTCCTAGTCCTAGTATAAAATTTGGAATTACATTTATCGCGTGTTTGGTCAGTGTTTTTGGCTGATACGATATAAATCTATCTCATATGCAATGTGGCGTTGTAATTCCAGAGACATCCTTGGTCCGGCCCCTAAGAATAGCGCTATAACCACTATCCAATATGTTTGTACCACCATATTGTTGCCAACTTACATGGAAGGAACTCTTACACTTGCCCATGGCATCAGAAGTCAGGGAAAATAGAGAGAGTTATGTTTTACAAACTCACGATTAATCAGGGGTCAATGCCCATGAAAGCAATCTAGAATACATAGAAATAATCTTCTTGAAATTAATGTCCAGAAAAAGATAGCTTAAAAATTGAACTTAAGCATAAAAGAGTTAACCAAAAGAGGCCAGAGAGAAGTTTTAATGGGAGCTCAATGCAGCGTCCCATGAAGGAATTAAATGACTTCAGTATAAAGATTCTTTGGATGAAAATTGTTTCGTATTGCCTAAGAATTGAAACACGTTAACATGTCTGAATGTTGCCTGTTTTACTTTTAAAAAAAAAAAAAAAAAACTAACTCCACTTTTTTTTAATTTTCTTTTCCTTTCCATATAAGCTTGGAAATGTGAATTTCATTTTCTAAAGTAGCATTTCCAAAAGTGAAAGAAGAACTTCCATGCAACAATCTGGGTAATTTGCTGGGAAAAGCCAGGATTTGAGAACTCAAGTTTTTCCATTTTTGGTCTAACAAAATCATATCATACCTCGAGATATCCTATTATCAACGTTTTGATGCTGAAATTGAAGACTTCAACTCTCCTTTCTTTCGAGATGCATGAAGTTGCTTTCTAACTTGAGTCGCTAGAGACTGCAAAGGACATTAATAAACAAGGTAACTCAGTATTAGATTAATAATCATAGAATGTTCAATTACTCAATTTTAAGGCATTCTCTTAGAAATGTCTTTCATAGCTCCACACCCCACTGATCAAAAGAATTGATACACCATACAAAGCCTTGGACTGCAACTCTGTGCTCGTAGATGACCAGTAACTAAAAGAAAGGTAAGATGAGATTAGGGATCACAAGAAGAGGCATGTGTCTTTACATGAGGATAATTGACGCTACTTGCAAGCTGCAGCTGTCACGACCCCAAACGAGTCGGGAGTGACACCCACACTTAACCTCCTAAGTGGGCGAACCAAGGAATCCAAATCCCAACATATATCAATAATTCAACTACGACTAACAACAATAATGCGGAAGCTCAAAACTTATTAAAGTAACCAATCAAATAAACCTCTAAAGTCTAACACTCATTATCCCCAAAATCTGAAAGTCATCACATCAAGGACATCTGTTCTCAAAATACCAAGTGTAAGAGTATTAAAGACACAAAAAAAAGTAAATAAGATGGTCTGTGTCCGAAATTTAAGGACATCACGCCATGACTGAGAGAATCCAGCATGAGCTAGAAGGAATAGCTCACCCTGAAATCTGATGTGCTGGAGACTGGCTAGAGCTGAGGGCGAGTTGAAGTCGATGGTACACTTGTTGCACTCCACAAAAGAAAACAAAGAAAACACAAGTAGGGGTCAAGGAACACGTACTGAGTAGGTATCATCGGTCAACCCAAAATAGAAACTAATGCACTAAATAATAGTATAAATTCAACTATGACACTTAGCAGGTGGCAAGCAACAAACAACATGAACAAGTGACAACGGAAGCAAGTACGCAATCAATCACAATATCAAGCACACATACGAAGACCCATGCCTCCATACCACACTCATTTGAGATATGAATTCTTTGAGATTGAGTGCATTAAGTTAATTCAATATCTTCTCCTTTAATGTTACTGTGTCGGAACGTGACACCCGATCTAATAATACTGTGTTGGAACGTGACACCCCGATCCAATAAAAATTGTGTTGGAACGTGACACCCTGATCCAACCATATAGTTAATTCATTTTTCATTCTTATTATCTCTTTGCACTTCCTTAACAATATTTCATTAAGCCTTTCTATATTCAAGGCACCCCTTATCAGATAGTTCAATGATTACCTTACATGTTTATATGAATGTTCAAAAGGTTACCTGATAGATATTGATATATCCTGATTCTGATAGAGCAAGAATTGTCTGATTGACCATGAAAACAGAAACTGCATACCCTGCTGATATTGACAAATCATGAGGTGCTACAACCCACTACAATCCATTCCAAAATCTTTCATAGATTGATCCACTTACACCAGTGATCCAGGTAGATGCTTCAGACACTTTTGTTAAAGAAACTCTTTTTCTCAAAGGAAGATATGTATAAGAACTTCCCTCATTCTTAACTTTTAGTAAAGATCTCATCTTTTTCAGGTTCTTGATTAGTCTGATCAATTCTATTGACTTTTGTACAATTATCATTGAAACAAGAAACTAAATCATAAGGCAAATCCACTTGTAACCAACTGTTGGATTGCTCATCATACTCCCAAAACTTGTTGGTTTTCAACTCAAATTTCCTCTGAGCTTGTCTTACATATTGTTGCACAAACCATGACTCTGACTCTGATTCTGAAATAGTCACACAGCCAAATAATGACAAGATAATGAAAATCTTGATCAAGAACATGAGATAAAAACAGTACAACTTGAACAACAAGGTTCTTAGAGACATAACATCATGAACAAGATATGCACATACTTAAGTCCATATGGGCCATAGCAGAATATACTTCACTTAAACCATTACATGTAAGTTATAGCCAATATTTTTCAAGAGGGGTTTGCCAAGGGAGGTGTGTGTGGGTGGGGAGGGGGGTGTTGTGTGTTTGTGTATATAATTAAAATTATCAAGTAGCTTGAAATTGGTATATGACTATATGTAATAGGTTCTTAAATTCTTAACTACCTATCTAGTTCAACCATTGGATTTTTTTTGTTAATAAAAATGGTACTCCCTAGTTTATATGATTTACTTTTTGTTTAAAAAATAATAACACGTTTCTGTATTAAGTCACACAGATATTTATCACTTATTTTAGACCATAAATTTTAAAAGTCTTCTTTTCTTTCTTAAACGTCATACCGAGTCAAACTAACTTATATAAAATGGGACGGAGGGAGTAATAGCCTTTGATAGGATGGCTGTTATCTAACTTGTAATAGCTTTGTATTGATATTGAAGGCATCACTTCGATAGAGAGGGTTCAGACATTTACGGAAAAAAAATTTGATTTGTTTTTGAAAATCATTAATGTCCATATTTTAAAGTCATTGGTTCAAGTCAAATTTTTTTTTAGGTTTATTCATATTTTTATATATTTTTCTTGATTTTTATATTTTTCAAATATTTATGAAAAAAATAAAATTTTATCTTTTTCTCGAAAACCATTAATTTCGATAATTTAAAGTCATTGGTGCAAGTCAATTTTTTTGAAGTGTTCTTATATTTTCTTTCTATTTTTCTTAATTTTTATATTTGTCGGGCATTTGAAATCCATTATTTTTAATATTTTAAAGTCATTGGTGCAAGCGAAATATTTTTTGAGGTGTATTTTATATTTTACTTGATTTTTTTATTTTCCGGACATTTATGAAAAATAAATAAATTATTTTGTTAAAATCAATATTTTTGACATTTTTGAGTGTCACGCATCGCGTCGCCCCTCGCGAGGTGTCACTATGGGTGGAAACTCAACTCTCTCTATTGAAAATCCTTATTTTCGATATTTTAAAGTCATTGATGCAAGTAAATTTTTTTTGAGGTGTTTTGATATTTTAATATATTTTTCCTTTATTTTAATATATATATTTTTGGATATTTTAGTAAAAAAATAAATTTTTGAATTTTTTCTTGAATATCATTATTTTTGATATTTTAAAGTCATTGGTGCAAGTCAATTTTTTTTGAAGTGTTTTTATATTATTCTTATATTTTTCTTTATTTTTATATTTTTTCGTGCATTTACGAAAAAATAATATTTTTATTGTTTTTGAAAACTATTATTTTTGAGATTTTAAAGTTAGTGGTGCAAGGCGAATATTTTTTTGAGGTATGTTTTATATTTTTTCTTGATTTTTGTTATTTTCCGGGAATTTACGAAAAAAATAAAATTTTACATTTGTTAAAATCATTATTTTGGAATTTTTTAGCGTCACTCATCGCATCGCCCCTCACAAGGTATCGCGCGAGGTGGAAGCTGGCCTCCCATGCGCCCTGAGCACGCGACTGGCCTATATGTGAGTCTACCTCGACAAACGTCGCGGAAAGTGGTGGTTGAAACTCAATCTCTTTGTTGTCGCGACTACAACCCGTCGTGAGTACATTTTTCGGATATTTACGAAAAAATAAAATTTTGATTTTTTTGTAAAACCATTATTTTCGATATTTTAAAGTCATTGATGCAAGCCAATTTTTTCTTTTTTTTGGTGTTTTTGATATTTTTCTTGATTTCAATATTTTTTGGACATTCACCAAAAAATATATGTCTTGTTTTTTCGGTCATTTACGAAAAAAATAAAATTGTGATTTTTTTTCGAAAACATACATTTTAATTTTTTTTAAAGTCATTGGTGAGAGATGAAAAAATTTAAAGTTGTTTTTATATATTTTTGTTGATTTTTATATTTTTTGGAAAAATTAAAATTTTGATTTTTTTTGAAAATCATATTTTTCGATATTTTAAAGTCATTGATGAAAGTTAAAATTTTCTACGAAATGTAATTTTCTATTATTCTAAATATGTATAAATTTATTTATTTATTTTGAATACATTTTTTAAACGGAGAATTTTTTTAAAAATGACACATAAATTATTTGTGGACGCTAAAAATATTTTTATTCAAATATCATCTTCATGTTGAAAAGTAATTAATTTCTAGTAATTACATTTGGAACAATGACTAAACTTCAAATCCGACCAATTTTTTTTTTCAAAATTGGTGGTAGTGAACATCGACCCGACTCGGTAACATGCAATGGCAATTAGCGAGTGCAATTCTTTCGGACATGGGCGGGGTTTTATGTTAGGAAACATTTGGCGAGCCTAAAACTAGGGGTGTGCAAAAACCGAACCGACCGATAAATCGAACCGAAAAAAGTGTTATTGGTTTATTGTTATTGGGTTATTGGGATAACGGTTATTTAATGGTTTTACAAAAAAATTTTATTGGGTTATCGGTTCGTTATTGGTTTTTAATATTGGGTTATTGGGTTAACCGATAACCCATTAAGAATATAATAATTTACTATTTTAATTTTTAGTTATACATATATATAATATATTAAAAAATATATTAATATAATTAGTAGTATATTAGACTAAAAATATAAAACCCTACGTAATAATTAACACTACTTAACAATTAACTCTCCTCTCTACTTTTAGTTATTTAACCTTTAGGTTTTTTTTTTTAAATAACGTAAGAACTTCATTTAGTTACCATAAGCATGACCTCATTTGCTACACTGTTTTGACTTTTTTCTATGATTTGGTTTTATTTGATTCTCTTTATTGCATAAAGGGGACCTCGTTTTATATATTATGGTGATCGAAAATTAACCAAGTCTTTGTTGTGATGACCAAAATACAACAAGTTGGTCCTTGTTGTCCCGTTTGGAATGATTATTTCGATGTATGCGTATCGCGTCAAATTATTGGATAAGTCATATATTTTGAAAGCATTTTCTTATTGATTAAACCGAAAACCGAACCGTTAAAGACCGAAAACCGATAAACCGAAAACCGATAACAAATATCTTATTGGTTTGATTATCGGTTTAGCATATTTAAAAACCGAAAACCGATAAACCGAACCGATAATACTTATAACCGAACCGAACCGACCGATACACACCCCAACCTAAAACCCTGTGTATACTTGCTACAAATAAAATTCCCCAAATCTCAAGCCTTCGACTCCTATTCTCCTACGCCAGTCACCACACACTTCTCACTTCCCCTTTAACCCCAAAACCTCCGCTTTCCCTTTCTCATCTCTTCAAAATCAAACACCCATTTCCCCATACCCACAAGTCCCGCCGTCTTCTCTTCGCCGCATATTCAAGAAAATTTCAAAAATCTCGTTCCGACAGCGGATCTATCATTTAAGCCCAACTGGAATTTGGAAAAGAGAACGTTGAAATATAAAGCTGTAAACTGAAGAAAGGAAAGAGAGCAGAGGCGAATTCTTCTTCTTCTTTGCTTGTGTGGGCATCAGCTACGAAGCGCCAGAGCCGTTGGAGTTGGGAATCAGCTAAGGTATTCATCTCAATCTCATCTTTCTTTTCTTCCTTCGTTCGATTAAACTTCTTGTTTGTACCATTTTTATCTGTGATTGGAGTATTCAGATGTTGTTTCTATGGTTGATTCATGGCCATCTTTTCTTGGTTTTCTTTCTTTAGAATCTTGTAGAAAGAAATCTGTATAAAGGCTTAGTCAATATTTGAGAGTTGCTTAGGGTTTTCTTTATGGTTTCGAGGTTTTAATTGTTTTTGTTTGACCCATTTTTATCCCCTTGTTATGTGATTGGAGTATTTCTGATCCCTTATTTGGGATCAGTTTGCATGTTGTTTCTATGGTTGATTCATGGTGGCTTTCTTGGTTTTAGAATCTTGTATTTGTATTAAGACTTAGTCCACTTGAAACAGTAAAAATCTGAACGGCCCAGTTGTATCTGCTTCTTGTTCATCTTTAAATCCGTTTACATACATTCCATTGTTCTAGAATTGTTGTTTCTTGTTATTCTTTATACCCATTCCATTTCCATTTTTGTAGAGTGACTGTTTCTTGTTAATCTTTAAACCCATTCCATTGTTTTAGAGTTGCTGTTTCTTGTTAATCTTTATACCCATTCCTTTTTTGTAGAGTTGCTGATTCTTGTTAATCTTTAAACCCATTCCATTGTTTTAGAGTTGCTGTTTCTTGTTAATCTTTAAAACCATTTACATACATTTTGTTGTTTTAATGTTGCTGTGTATGAGAATTTGTTAGAACAACACTTTTCTTTCCACTTTATATGAGTATTTGTCTCTCTTTGTGCACAAATGACAAATTGATTTCCTCAATCTTCTAATTGCGAGACATGGTCGTGCATCTGTTCCCTAGACCAGTTTAAGATTAATGTCTACATCTTTGTTTTGAGTAGATATCTGTATTTTTGTTCTTATTAGGTTGACATGGAGTTAATTTATGATGGTTTTAGCTTTAATTTTAAAAATAGAATTAGTGGTTCACTCTAATATTTCAGTCATTGAAGCAACAATTGTCAGCAAAATATTTCTCGTTTTATAATTGATTGAATTAATGCTTTGCCTTATGAATTGATATTTTCTCCCATAGGTTGATATATATATATATATATATATATATATATTATCATCTTTAGTTTCTA